CCCTTACGTGATGGCGTTGCAACTCCATCTCCCTAACAAACAGATGGTTAGGTTTAGAGATGATGATATAATGACAGATATTGTCGATAGAGAGAGAGATAAGCGAACGATGCTGACTGCATTTTTTGATAGGAATAGAACAGACATTAGTGCAAGACAATATTTGTACAAAGATTTTCCAAAACACTACACATGGAATTGGAGCACACATCGATGGAATCCCCGACAAAGAGGATCAATGAGAGGCCGACTTGTGTCTGCAAATCCAGCTGAAGGAGAGCGGTTCTACCTACGCCTACTTTTGTCTCATATTACTGGGCCTACTTGCTTTGAAGATCTATACAGTTTTAACGGCTTACTGCACCCTACATTTCGCAAAGCATCTCTTGATAGAGGGTTAATAGAAGACTATGATAACTTATCCCAATGTCTTGGAGAGGCCTCATTATTTCAATTTTCGGCTGCTCTTAGGAGGTTATTTGCCACGATGTTTTATTGTGAGCCAGTAGATGTTCGCAAGTTATGGGATGACCACTATGATTCACTCTATGAACATTATACGTGACAATGTGAAAGTGCTAATCGAGTTCGTAATCTGGTTCTAACAGATATCCACGTTTTTCTATAGTCTATGGGTAAGAGTCTTGATGATTTCAATCTTCCAATGGTTGATTCAAATTCAAATTTTCAATCTGGAGAATTTCGTGAGGTACAAGAGGAATTCTCTATAGTTGTGGAAGATGATCACTTACGTGCTCGAGACTCTCTAAATTCCGACCAGAAATACGCATATGATGAGATCATGAGGCATGTAGACGAGGATTGTCCCGGAGTGTTCTTTATAGTTGGTCCGGGTGGAATCGGGAAGACTTTTTTGTACAAATCTTTGCTTGCCAACATCCGTTCATGTGGTCTTATTGCTCTCACAACCGCTTCGTCGGGTGTTGCTGCCAATAATATGCCTGGACGGAGAACAGCTCACTCTAGATTCAAAATTCTTTTCAACCTTGATAATAACTCAATGTGCAACATAAGAAAACAAAGTGGGGCTACAAAATTGATTCGAGATGCAAAAATAATCATATGGGACGAAGCGTCGATGGCAAAAAGGCAAGCACTGGAGGCGCTCGATCGAACAATGCGAGACATCATAGGGGTGGCACTCCCATTCGGCAGAAAGATAATGGTTTTGGGGGGTGATGTTAGACAAGTATTACCGGTCGTGAGGCGTGGAACCCAAGCACAAATTGTAGATTCTAGCTTACGGATGTCACCTCTTTGGGCAACGATTAAAAAGATACGGTTAACGCTCAATATGAGAGCACACACTCATCCGTGGTTTTCATAATTTTTATTAAGAGTCGGTGATGGAGATGAAGAAGCGGTGGACAAAAGCTTTATTCGCATACCGGATGACATGACCATTCCCTATACTGATAAAGGTAAGTCAAAAGATGCGCTGATTGACGCAATCTTTCCATCTCTGCAAATCAACGAAGCTGATTCATATTATATCATTTCGAGGGCGATATTGTCAACTAAAAAAGAGAATGTCGACGAGATTAATGATCAGTTGATCGACAAGTTTTCTGGAGATGAAAAAATATACTATAGCTTCGACGAAGCAGAAGATGATAAGAACAACATCTATCTAATGGAGTTCTTAAATTCTTTAACTGTTAGTGGTTTGCCTCCTCATTACTGTTACGAAATATCGATCCCTCCAATGGATTGTGTAATGGCATTAGATTGATATGCAGAGGCTTTCAACAGAACGTCATCGATGAGAAATAGCTGTTGGTCAGCATGCTGGAAAGAGAGTATTTCTGCCGAGAATTCCCTTATGTCCRTCCGAAGACAACATGTTCCCATTTAAGTTGAAGAGAAAACAGTTTCCAATTCGGCTTAGCTTTTTTATGACAATCAATAAATCTCAAGGCCAAACAATTCCGAATGTAGGTGTTTATCTACTGGAATCAGTTTTCTCACACGAGCAACTTTACGTGGCGTTGTCCAGAGGAATATCACGGGGGAATACGAAGGTGTTAGTGAAACCTATTAAAAATTCAATCGTGCCGGAGTCTACACCTCAAACGTCGTGTTAGCTCTCATATTCATTAATGTATAAGTATGAAAAAGATTTCTGCAAGTGTTGACAGAAGGGTTCATTCCACAAAAGACCACAGAGGACCAACAATAGAAGATGTTCAATCGTACAAGTCAAGAGTGACAGAACCTTTGTTGTCTATCACAGAGGTTCTGGAAACTGGTCCTCTAGCAATAAAAACTTACAAGCAAAATGCAGCAGAGCCTCTGGAATAGCTCACAGAGGGTCTGCGGGTTTATCTTCTGTGAAGAACCACTTCTTACTGTTTTACTTAAGTTAGTTAGCTGCATGTGCTTCTCATGTGACTATGTTTGTAATCGACTTTATTTTGGACGGATTGGATCGTTTCACTCGTCTAGGTCGTGTCATAAAAGCCGTTAGAAACTAGTATAAATAGCAGTTAGGTCTTTGTAATTCAGTGTGCTTCCGAATTGTAATCGTCTTATTTTCGATCAATTGAAAAACCTTTGAAGCTATTCCCTCGTGTTCTTCATATTCATCAACTGTGTGTTCTTGATTAATTACTTTGTTCGTTCTTATACTGTTTCCGCTGCACTGTTATTGTTCTTAAAGATCATCCAGAGTATTTGGTTAATATCAAAACTGAGTTTACAGGTCCTAAMAATTGGTATCAGAGCAGGAATCAAATTCTTATTTGATTAATTCTGTTCTTGGTATTAATCGGCATTTGTTCTAGAACACCAGTCTTCTTCTTCAGGTTACTCTGTTTTACTCTATTTTATCAGTTTCATCTTATTCCTATTTTTCTTCTTCTTTCAATGGCGAATCTGGCCAATACATCTTTCATGAGCACTGGTTCTCAATCTAAACCTCCCACGCTTAT